GGCTCAGTATCACAGGTGAGGGGCGGGCGGAGCGGGGCTGCAGGGTCGGGAAAGGAGGGGCGGGCGGGGGACCCCTGTTTTAGGAGGGGGCGTAGGGCGGGAGGTGGGGAGACGAGGTGGCTTAGGGGGCAGGAGGCAGCCGGGAGTCAGGCAGGGCTGCGGGCAGAGGTGAGCATCCAGAGAAGGGGCATAATGGGGACTGAGGGCACGGGGAGAGGGGAGTCTGGGCATGGGGAGGATGGGATGCAGACCAGGGGGTGAACTGGGGCAGGAGAAGATGGAGACAGGGGTCCTGGTGAAAGGAGTGCTTGGGGAAGAATGGGAGAGGGGTCTAGGCTGAAGAGGGGTAGCATGAAACCGTGAACTGGGGCGCCAGGTCTTGAGTGGGGCTCCCAAGGGGGAGACAACCCATGGTTTGTTTCCTCTGGCTGAGCTGGGTATAGGGTGACGTGGAGGGAATGGCAGCGGTGCTGCGGAAACAGAGCACTGGGTGGGTACGATAGACCATCCAGGGGGAGCGAGGGCTGTGTGGGCAGGACAGCTGCAGGGGTTCGGGTCCCCCAGGGATGGCAACACCAGTTAGGGGTGGGTGTGTGACACCCCTGCAGCCCCATGAGACTGCGGGGGGAGGTGGGAGATGTGCCGAGCTTGCTGAGGTCATGGGGTGGAAAGTGGGAACTGGGAGGACGGGGCAGGAGATGCAGGTCCATGAATGAAAACTGTGGATCCTCTTTGCAGCCTGAAGCTGGAATGTGAGAAGCTGGTGAGTGAGAAGACGGAGATGCAGAGACATTATGTCATGGTAAGCTACCCCTGCCCTGTCCTCCATGCCTCCTCCAAAGCACCCCTGACTGCCACCCTCCGGTGACGTCCCGGGCTCTGGGGCTCCACTCAGCCGCTCAGCCAAATTGGCCAGCGGCCTCCCCAAGCCACCTGTGCTGGCGGCGGATGCCTGGCCTGGGTGGTGGGGCTGGTGGGGTGCGTGAGTTAGGAAGGAGTTAATCGTTATTCCTAGCAACGGCTGGCTCTTCTGCTGATGTCTGCTGCCACTCAGTGCTGCTTGAGCCCAGGAATCGTGCCATAGGTTTTGTCTCTTTTATTTTCTTTTTTTCCTTTTTCTGTTTGGCCTTTTAAGAGCTCTTTCTCCTTCCTTCTTGTCTCTCTCCCAAGGGGAGGTGTCTTGGAAGCAATTTGCCAAGACTAGTGTTTTGGGTGGAAGGGGAAGCTGCCTTTAGAAGGAGCAGGGCAGGACCCCTCCACAGTTGCCAGCGCAGGTTTAATAGCCCCTGACACTGACCCACCAGCCAGAGCTACCAGGCCTTCTGCTTCTGGTAGCCCTGGCAGGAGGGGGGTAGCTGCTGGAAGGAAGGGAAAGGATGGGAAGTGCAGAGACGGAGTAGCATTCCCTCTCCTTCAGCATCTGACATTACCAGCCCCTCTAGGGGAAGGGGGAACCCAAATTATGCCATCCAAAAGACAAACAGAACTTGAACAACCCCCATCCCCTGGGTGATGACAGCGCCACCCGTGAGGCCAGCAGTGTACTAGGCTAAAGCAGGGAATGTTCCTGTCACCCACCAGCTGGGATCCCTTCCCACATCCTGGAGGCTCAGGGATTCCCAGAGTTGGGCTGCTGCCTTTGAAATGGGCTTTGCTGGAGGAAGGGAGGTCCTCTGGTCCCCCCCTTCTCCCCGTCCTCAGGGGCAAGGGGATGGGGTCTGCTGCAGTTACAGCTGCCAGAGTCACTAGTGACTGGTGAAAGGTGTAACCCAATGTCATCTTTGCTTTTGCGCAGGTACGGCCACCCGTGTGACTAGATGGGCAGCTGCATCAGGGAGTGGGTCTGGGTTAGGAGTGGGAAGGGACAAACCAGGACAGGAGGGGATGTGGAGGGCAATGGGGCTGGCTTATGCTGGCTTAAACTAGTGCAGAAACTGCAGTGTAATCATCACAGGTGTTAAACAGGCTACACCGTGGTGGCTCCCGACCTTGTCCCAGGCTCGTGACACAGGTCTGGGCCCATGGCGTGCTGGACAGCTGTTTCTCGTGGGCTGGGGGGAGCAGGGACCCCCTGCAGCAGCAGTGGAGTTTGGCTGGGGAGAGCAGGGGTGGGCTGGCTGCTGAGCCCCTGGCTGGTAACAGGCCAGTTGCTCTGGGCAGCTCCTAACCAGGCTGTGTTGTGATTTTGCTCTCAGTACTATGAGATGTCCTACGGGCTGAACATTGAAATGCACAAGCAGGTAAGTGAGATTGGGTCCGGGCCCGCAGCAGGGAATGGTGGGGAAGAGGTTGAGGGTGGAGACTTTGTTGGAAAATTATCTCCCTCGTCCCCATGTAGCTGTAATGGCATGGAGATGTAGCACGGCTCTGTGTGAGGGGCTGGCCTGCAAAGGGGCTCAGCAGCTGTCAGGATGTGTGCTGTTGAGTTCTGGTAGGTGCCTTGGGACAGGGCCTCCTCCCTGACATCCCAAAGCACCTCTCAGAGCCTGGCTGTGAGCCCTGCACACGTACCTCCCCGCGGTTCCCTGGGGCCCCAGACGCAGGAGGGAGCATGGAGGAAACAGCAGGAGCTGGAGCCCAGAGGCAAATGGATTGTCTTTCTTTTCTTTTCTTTTTTTTAATCCCCTTTTCCTTTCCTGAAGCCAGAGGAGTGTTTTCACCCTTCCCTGGTTCCCCTTTTGTTCCAGCGTTAATTTGCTTTCCCTCTTCAGATTTATCAATCTAGTCATCACGGGCTCTCTGCCAGGGAAATTAGTTTGGACCAGTGCCTGACAAAGTGGCAAGTCAACTGCCATATTCCTCCAGCTGGCTCAGCCCCTCCGAGTTTGCTCCTTTTGTTAGCAGGGAGAGTAGCCTGTGAGCACGTTCTTGCCATCCCCACGTGCTCTGAGCTCCGGTGGGACTAGGACCCAGGGGTGGCCCAAGCCATGAGGGGTGACAGGCGATGGCCAAGTGGCTGGGGAGAGGGAGCCCTGGCCCACCCGCGTCCAGCCGCCCGCTCTGCGTGAGCAGGAGAGGTCCGGAGGAGGGGGTCAGTCTCTGGCTCCTGGGGTCCCATGTGGATGTCAGGGCAGTGGCTGGCGCAGCAGCTGGGACCTGCCGGTGACTGGGGTGCTGGTGGGCGCGGGTGCTCCCCAGGGTGCACGCAGCCTTTAAGCGCAGCAGGTAGATGTTCCCTTTGTTCTTTGACGGCTTTGTGCGTGGTTTGACCTCTCTGCAATGCTGTCAGGGATTGTGGGAAACCTGAGAAAACACTTCAGAGCAGCCAATCCCTCCCCCAGTGCCAGGGTGGATTTGCAGCGGGTGGGGGGGGATCAGTTTTTCCCCGGGAGGCGCTGGTTTTCTTTTGGAGAGGCTGGGCTGGAAGCCACAGATCCTTCCCTTGGGAAATGCTGCTTACCCCAGTGGGGACACGGCCAGGCTGTGGGTCTGTCTATGACCACAGGCTGAGGAGAGGACGTTCCAAGTCCTCTCCATTTCCTTGTTGCCGCTTGCTGGGCAGGGGACAGGTACAGGGGTGCTCTGTGCCTCCGCTCCCCCTCTGGAAGGAGCAGGGAGGGCTGGCCTGGCGCTTCGGCAGGGGTGGGAGTGGGAGCGCCTTCTCCGTCTGGGGTGGGGAGAGCAGAGCCCGTACTTCTGTTGGTGCCTTGCAGGGCTTTGCTGGCACAATGCAAAGAGGGCTGAATTCGTTTGTGTGAATTTTGCGTCCCCCTTTTTCTCCCTCTGGTTTCGAGTCTGATGTTCAGGGAGAGAGCAAGCAACATGCCGATGGCCCGCTGCCAGCGCTTGTGGCTCCGCTCTCCCTCCCCGCCCGCCC